TGCACGCACATAGGTGTCTCTGTCACATACACATGTGTGTGCATGCACACACATACATATATGCACGCACCAGTGTCTCTGTCACACACACATATGCACACACACATGCACACACCATAGTCTCTATCACACACACATATACATACCGGTGTCTCTGACACACACACACATGCGCACACACACACACCAGTGTCTATGAAACATGCTATTGTCTCTATCACACACACATGCACACTGGTGTCTCTATCACACACACACACACACACACACACTGGTGTTTCTGACACACACACCTGCACACACATGCATGCACACACAGGTGTCTCTGTCACACACACATGCACAAACACACATATGCATGCACATGCAACATCAGTGTCCCTGTCACACACATGCACACATACATGTACGTGCATACACACCAATATCTATCACACCTATGCACACATGCATGTGTGCACACATGCACGTATGCATGCACAAACTAGTGTCTCTGGCACACACACACCATTGTCCCTATCACAATACACCAGTGTCTGTCTCTTACACACACACACACACACCCCATTGTCTCCATCACACACACACACTGGTGTCTCTGACACACACACGTGCACACACATGCATGCACGTGTGCACACACAGTGTCTCTGTCACACACACATACACACACCCTGGTGTCTCTGTCACACATGCACACCAGTGGCTGTCACACACACACACACACGCACACACACCCCCCCCTTTATCCAGGCTCTTCCTCACCACCGGCCCCTTCCTATCTCTCCCTCTGTCACTTCCTCCTTTGTCCACCATCTGTCCCTTCCACGTCCCTCCTGGTCGGCTCGACCTTGTGCTCTCCCCCAGCCTCCAGCTCTCTCCCCACATCTCTGCCTCCGTCCCTCGCCTCTGTCTCGCCTCTGCCTATGGGAGACCCCTTTTGTGAGCTCGGCTGCAGGCTCTGTCTTTACGGCCACCCTGTCCAGCCGTTGGGTCATCCCCCTTGTGACGACGTGACCCGGGGCACACGCTCGAGGTAAATCCCCTCCTGACCGCTGGGCTGCTTTTCTTCAGTCCCTTCAGCTCGGCCTCTGTAACTGTCTCTCACTCCCTCGTCTCTCTCCCCATCTCTCTGTCTCTTCCTGCCTCCCACGGGTCTCTGCGTCTCTGTCTGTCTCTGTCTCTAACCTGTTCTGTGCCTGCTGGTCTTTGTCTCTCGGTCGTCCCCTGTCAGTCAGTCAGCACCCGCTACTACGTGCCAGGCGCTGTGCGGAGAATTGGGGTTGTGGTGGTGCTCTGCCCTTCCTTCTCAAAGAGGACTAGAACATCAGGGAGGTGATGCCATGACCTGCAAGTGCGTTGGACTTAAGTGAGGCAGGGCTGTGCGGAGTCACTGGCCTCACTGTCTCCTCCGGAGCCATCTGGGTCCAATGGCCAGATATCGATCGGGACGACTGGAGATGGCCCCAGATGCAGTGGGAGACTTTGGCCTTTTCTTCAAGTGCTGGGGATACAAAAAATGGCAAAAGGCAGCCCCTGCCCTCAAGGATCTTACGCTGGATGGGGAAGAAAACAAGCAAACCTACTTGTACAGAGTGAGCTCTATACAGGATAAATGGGAGATAATCAACAGAGGTGAGGCCGGGGAGGAAGAAGGCAGGGAAGGCTTCCTGCAGAAGGTGGGATTTTAGCTGGGACTTAAAGGAAGCCAGGGAGCCCGGTCGTCAGAGCCGAGGAAGAAGCGCGTTCCAGGTGTGGGGGACGGCCAGAGAGACTGCCCAGAGCCAAGACACGGAGGGGTCTTGTTAGCAGAAAGGCCAGGAGGCTGTTGTCACTGGAGCGAGAATTCAGTGGTGTGTTGGGGCAGAAGGAGTGTAAGGAATAAGACTAGAAAGGTTGGAGGGAGGGTGCCAGGCTTGAACACCAAAGGGTTTTCTAGTTAATCCTGGGGGCAATAGGGAGCCACTGGAGTTTCTTGAGTAGGGAAGGACATGGTCAGACCTGCGCTTTTAGGAGGCTTACGGTAGTGACTGAATGGAGTGGGGAGAGATTGGAGGCGGGCAGATCTCCCAGCGCCTATTGCCATAGTCCAGGCATGAGGTGATGAGGGTCTGCACCAGAGTGCGGGCAGGGTCAGAGGAGAGATGGTGCCATGGTGAACTCAATGGGCCTTGGCCACAGCTTGGATGTGGGAGACGAGGGAGAGACCCCAAGGGTGGGAGCCTGGGGTTGGTGGTGCTCTCCACAGGAACGGGGAAGAAGGCCAAAGGGGAGGGTTTGAGAGGAAAAGCACGGAGTTGTTTGGGGCATGTTGAGTTGAGGATGTCTATAGGTTGGAGATGAAGGCAGAAGGTCCCCAGAGAGGTTAGGGCAGAATCATCAGCCTTCATCACAATTACATCGCCGGGGAGCTGAGGAGCTCATCAGATAAAGTCCCCTAGAGGGAGAAGAGCAGAGGGGCCGGCCAGGACGGGAGCAGAGCAGGCAGGGCCCAGCTGAAAGGGCATGGAGAAGGAACAGTCAGACGGTAGGAGGGTTAGGGTTCCCTGGAGAGAGGAGAGAGTGACCAACATGGCCAAGGCTGCAGAGAGGCAAAGGAGAGGGAGCGTGAGCGGTCTGGGTGGAATTATGGGGTCCAAAGCCAGACTGCAGAGAGTTAAGAAGAGTCCCAGGACGGGGAATGAGGGACCTCTTGTAGATGTTTCTCAAGCTGCCATGCCTATCCCGGCTCTCTCCTCCCAGGGAGGGAACCGCTCCTGGGGCCCTCTGAGGACCGCTGGGATGGTTGGGCGCCAGGGGGCGTCCTGGGGCCTTCCCACTGGGCGATGGAACCCTAATGGAAGACTCGAGTCTGCCTGACGACGTATGACATCAGCAGTGCCGCACCGTCAGACCCACCCTTCCCCTTTCTTCTCTCCCCAGATTTCCACAGTGGCTCTCGGCCCATCCAGCCTCCAGTGGCCCCCAAGGAGACCCCCAGTCCAGATCTCCAGCTGACCACTGACCCCAGCCCAAAGCTGACCGCTGAATCTAGCACACAGTTGACCTCTGATCTCAGACTGTCCCTGACCACTGACCCCAGCCCACAGCTGACCCCTGGCTCAGACAAACAGCTGACTCCTGACCCCAGTCCACAGCTGACCACTGACTCTGGCCAACTACTGACCTCTGACCCCAACCCACCGCTGATCTCTGATATCAGCCAAAAACTGACTTCAGATGTTGTCCTCGAGCTGACCTCTGACCCCAGCCCACAGCTGACCCCAGATTCTACACCTCAGCTGACCTCTGACTCCTCTCCAGTGTCAGTGGTAACCTTCCACACTGACCTACAATTCATTGTTGATCCTGGCCCGCAGCCGAGCCCTGACTCTACCCTAGAGCTCACCTCTGATCTTACCCCTAAAGGGGAGCTCACCCCTTCGTCCACCCCACAGTCCATGCCTGATGTTGCCCCACGGTTGACATCTGAAACCAACCGACAACTGACCATTGAGTCCTTCTCACAGCTGACCCCTAACTCTGCCCTAGACCTGACCTCTGACCCTAGCTCGCAGCTGACCCCTAACTGGGCCCTAGACCTGACCTCTGACCCTAGTCCACTACTAACTCCTCCCTCCACTGAACCGCAATTCACTCCTGATTTTGTCTCTCACCTGACCTCTGACCTGTCCCTGCAGATGAATGTTGACCCCACCTTTGCACCAGTACTGACCACTCAGCCCTCTGCAGACTCACGGCTGAACCCGTCCTCTAGTCCTACCCCAACTAAACAGTTGATGCCTGACCCTTCTCCCAGCCCAAAGGTGACTACTGCCTCCCCCAGCACTCATGGGCTGACCTCTGACTCATCCTCTTCCACACAACTGTTCCCAGAGCTCAGTCCCACCTCCCAGCAAGCCAGAGTGGCCTCTGCCAGCCCAGGGCTGCCCTCAAAGTACACGCCATCCCTGCCATCCGAGCCTGCTAGGCCCTCACAGACCCCCCCAGCCCTCGGGATGAGTCCAGCTGGGCCCTCCCCAGTGGCTCCTAGCCCCGCCCCCAGCCCCAGCCCCAGCCCCCAGCCTTCAGAGGTTCCACCCATGAGCGCTGCACCTCCCGGGACCCCAGATTCTATCTCCAGTGTCCCACTCTTTGTAGCCTCAGAGCCCACCATTAACCCTGATCTCGTCCCTAACCCTGCCCCAACTCCAGAGCACGGTCCCGAGCATCCTCCAACAGCTGGCTCTGGGGGGGTCTTGGATGATCCTTCGGCCCCCCCACAGTCCCCTGGTCCCAGTAATGTGGAGACTGGCCAGTGTGTGCTGGTCACTCCCCCCACCCCAACCGTCCTTCGAGTCATGGCCTGTGAGCCCCCGGCCCTGTGGGAGCTGGTTGGGGCAGTGAGGGATGTGGGCAAACAGCTGCGGAGTCTGACCCAGGCGGTCCAGCAGAACCGAGAGGAGAGAAGGGTGGCAGGCCTGGAGCTGGGGCAGCTGGTGGAGGCCATCAGGGGCCTGGGCGATCTGGGCCAGGCCCTGAGAGGGCTGGTGGAGGCATCGAGGACCCCCGTGACCCCCGGGCTCCAAGAGGAGGAGGAGGAAGAGGAGAGACCGCGAAGAGGAGACGTGTGAGCTCCCCAAAGACTGACAGAGGACAGAGATGCCCTCCTCCCCCTAAGTGAACAAAGACCACCCATCCCAGTGCCTCTGCTGGTCTAATTGAGCACCCATTTTCTGAGTATCTACTGTGCACCCCAGATCGCGCTGAGCACTTAGCGAGAGGAAGGGAAGACACCAGGGCCCTGTGCTGGGCACTGTAGGGGGACAGAGAGGGAGGAAGGAAAAGAGACAGACAATTACAGGGGCTGCATGGAGGGGGAAAGGAGGCGGCTCAGGGAGTTATCCAGAAAGGTGACGAGGGGCCCGCGAGGCTTCCCTCTCTGCAGAGCTGCACGGCTCTGCGGGGTCCTCACTCTCTGAGCTGAGTCACGAGTTCCACCTCCATCTGCGTCCTCTTGCTGTGTGACCTTGGGCAAATGACTTCCCTCTCTGGGCCACCACCCGGTGGGGGAGGCGTGAGCCTTGAGGATCTCTAAGCACCCCCTTCCACCTTTAAACAGCCTGGAGTTTCCTCCCCCCAGGCAGAGAAAAGGACAAAGCGTTCCTGGCGTCCAGCAGCAGAGGCCGGGGAAGGTCAGGCCTTCTCGGCACCCCTAAGCCTGGGGAGGGAAAGGCCAGGAGGGTCCAGTTACTGGGGGTGGGGGGGGGCAGCTACACAAGGTGGGAGGGTCCGGGGGTCCTGTCGGGCTGACGGGCTTAGGCCAACTGCTTGAGAGCTCTCTGAGCGCGCTAAGAATCTCAGCTTCCCCTCACTCGGTAAGCCGGGCGACGTAAATAACTTCTGACTGGGCCCCTGGGAGTGGCTGCCTGGGGCGAGGTGCCCACCCTACCAGGTCAGGGAAGGCTGGGGGACAGAAGACCTGGGTCTGGGCAGCCTCCCCCCCCCCAACCAGGCTGGTCCTGCTCTCTGAGAAAGGGTCTCAGCCTCTCTCTGAGGTCTGGGGGCCCCTCGCAAGGGTGGGAGTCAACCTATCTCCCACTCCCTCCATGATCCCCAGGGAAGAGGGCCCAGAATCAGATGAACCACGGAGGAGCCCCACTGGGCATAAGCCAGAGGGCAGGTCTGGGAGGCTGGGGACCCTGGCCCCCCCTCCCTGGGCTGTGGGGAGGGCTGTGGGCCAACGTACACCCACGCCTCCCAGGGCACCACGCCCACTCCCTGGCCCCTAAGTGTGTGCTTAATTACCCAGTTATCCTATCCCAGCTGGGCTTTAAGCCGGAACATCTGGCCCAGGGGCCTGAAGCCAGAGCTGGCCAGTGCCAGCCCCCTGCTGACACATGGCAGGCCTTGCTCAGGGCCCCCCCCCCAAGGAACATTCAAGGGCAGGCCTCCAACCCCAGAGATATCTTCCCCTGCCCCCCACCAGCTCTATGGAGCAGCACCCTGAGGCCGTTTCCTCCATGGACCCCATTGCTAGGAGTGGGGAATGTGTATGGGAGGAGTGGGGAGGAGGTGGAGGAAGGATCCTAGCAGGGTCTGAGGCCTTGATCAGAGTACCAGAAGGGTCGGAGCCAGCAGGAACTCTGGAGGCCCCACCAGAGCACAAAGGGGAAACTGAGGCTCAGCAAGCACTTGCTCCTCCAAGGTCACACGCCAAGGCAGGGCCCGGGCCCAGCCTTCTTCTTCTGCTCCCACCCTCATTCTTTTGGCATGGCCCCCCACTCTCTTAACTGGGCGGGCAGACGCCTCGGGGCTGCTCACATCAGCCAGTCACATACTGCTCGGCCTCTGGGTTTAGCTGCGGCTGGGGCCTCGGTTTGAGGCTGACCTCAGCCACAGCGTGACCTTGGGCAACTTTATTCCTTTTGGTCAGACAGGGTCTGGCTCTGGGAGGCCCCTCCAGCTGGACATCTTGCCCCCAACCCTCTTAGATGGGCAGCCAGAAGTTCCCCTGGGATTTCCAAGGGTCCCTGTCAGGGGCACCCCAGGCTCTGAGGACTCTCTCAGACCACCTGTGGATGCCAGGCAGCTCCCAGAATACTGGGGGGAGTTCCTGAGCACCAGGGCCCTGCAGGCGAGCCTGGCACTAGTCACAGGGTGCCCGGGCCCCAGGCTGGCCCAGGCCTTGGCAACCCTCCCACAGACCCCTGAGAGGTCTGCGCCAGGTTCCCTCAGCAGCTGCCTCATCTCGGGCTCATTATCACTGCCTGTTAATCTCCAGCACCTGGCAGCAATTAACGCCTGTGTGAGGGCCCCAGGGCCCCCCCAAGTCTCTCATCCTGCTGCCCAGCACCACCCCCACTTCACTTCAGTGCGAGGGCATTCCCCGCCTAATCGCTCAGCTATTTCAGGCTCTGGTGAGAGCTGGAGGTGGCACAAAGCCCCCCTCCTCCTGCCCACTCTGCCTGCCTGCCTCCCTGCCCTCCAGCCTGAGCCCCCTGGCATGGGAGACAGGGTCTCTGCCTTTGGACCCCGGGATCCAGCAGGGCCCACCCCCGCAGGCTGAGAAACCTGCACCCACGAGGTCAGAGCCGCCAGACCCAGCTGGGCACGGGGCCGAGCAGAGCGGCAGGAGAGGAAGAGGGAGTGTTTGTGGGCAGGGCAGGCTGGCGGCCCCGGGCAGCTGGGAGGGAGCCAGGGCCCCAGGTGGTGACAGGCTGCTCCCCCCCCCCCAGGGCCCGCCTGGCTGGCGTGTGCACACACACATCTACACACACAAACATCTACACACTCAAACACATTCACAGAAATGCCCACAAATAGAAACCCACGCTGACTCCATGACCAACCCCTCAGACAGGACAGCAAACAGAAATGTCTTCAGGCTTTATTAGAGAGAGGAGACGGGTAAGCCTGGTGGGCAGGGAGACCCAGAGAGGAAAAAAAAAACAAAACAGAAGGAAGGACAGAGAGGAGGAGCCGAAAGAGACTGGGAGAAAAAGGTACCAGGGCAGGGAGTGAACTGAGGAAGGCAGATGCAGAGATGGGGGGCGAGAGCGTTTGGCTTCAAAGAGGCGGGCACCTCCCTGACCCGGTCTCCTCCCCCACCGCAGCCGCCCATGGAGAGAACAGAGCACCTCCTCGGAGATTCCCCCCCAGGTCTCTCTCATTCTGCACCCAACTCCTTCTCTTCTTCCTCCTCCCTCTCTCCCCTCTTCCTGGCTAGCTCTGGGCTCCCAGCTTTCTCCTGCCAGGACTGGCCCAGAAAGGCCCGGACTGAGCCCACAGGGCCCCTGTGCCGGGGCCGAGGGTCAAGCAGCACCCCCAGCAGCTGATCGGCCACGGGGCTCAAACCGGCCCAGGGTGCGGGGCGGTCACAGGCCTTCCCAGAACCTCTCCAGTCCAGGAAATCCTGGTAGAAGGGGTCCTCGCTGGGCAGTGGCTGGTCCCAGGGGAAGTAGCCGGTGAGAAGGCAGAAGAGGAGCACGCCCAGGGCCCAGGCGTCCAGGGAGGGCTGGATGGGCAGACCCTCAGGCCGGTGGGTTGGGCTGCAGAGTTCAGGGGCAGTGTAGGGGATGGGGGGCCCAGCCAGGCGCAGCAGGGTCCCCCGGGGCCGCGTGTGCCCAAAGTCGGTCAGCTTCACCCGCCGGCAGCCTGGCTCAAACACCAACACGTTCTCCGGCTTCAGGTCTCGGTAGACGAGGCCCCGCGAATGGACATGCTCCAAGGCCGAGGAGAGCTGCTGTGCACAGAGCTGGGTGGCTGACTCAGGAAGACCCTTCTGCGGGGAAGTGAGGGTCTCTGAGCTGAGCCCAGAGGCCCCCAGCCCCGGGGGCAGCGCCTGCTACCAGCCCTGGCAGATGAACGGCCGGGGGCCCACCCCAAGGGACCAGAGGGTCCCAGCGTTACCTGTAGGTTCCAGGGCACTTAGCCATCAGCTGCCACCCACCCACACAAACACACCTGTGTCAAATAAAGGGGATGTGAGCCCACCCCTACTGTCCCCTCCAGCCAGACCCTCCCCCAGAGCTGACCTCAGGCACAGCGCCTAGGCTCAGCTCCCCTTTTCTGCCCACCCTCTCTGAGCAGTCGCCCTTCCAATTCTCCAGCCTTCCTGGAGCAATTGAGTAATCTTTCCAGACTCCCCCACGGAGCTCAAGGCCCAGGAAGGAGGCCCCCAGGTTCAGAGGCTCCTTCTGCCCCTGGACCCTCCCTTGGGGTCTCTCCTTCCCCCTGAACCGCAACGTCTCCCAGCTGCGAACCTACCTTGGGCTGGATCAAGGCGATGAGGTCCCCATGCAGGGCGGGCTCTGAGAGGAAGCCGTAGCAGGCCTGTGTCTCCAGCCCGATACCGTAGGTGGTCACGATGCCAGGGTGAGAGCCAAGGGTCAGTCCCACACAGAACTCGTAAAGAAACCCTTGGCGAGTTGTCGAAGCCTTGGATAAAAGCTTAAGGGCCATGGGCGTCCCTGGGTGATCCCCGCAGGAGGGAAGCAAGGAGGAGCAGGGGTTGTGGGTAGGACCCAGAGGGCAAGTGGGAGGACAACACAGAACCCTAGAACGTCAGAGCTGGTCCGGACCAGAGAGATTATCCAGTGCCAAAAGAGTGGAGACCAATCTTCTCCCTTTATAGAAGGCGGACTGAAGCCTTGAGAGGAAACGGCTCCCCTGAGGCCACCCAGAGTTGGGATTAAGCTGGTCAACCAGCTGGATCCCCTCATTTTACACAGGGGGAAATTGAGGCCCAGAAGGAAGAAAGGACCTGTTTGCCTAAGGTCACGTGTCCAGCACCTGAACTTGGCTCCACCAGGGCTCAAGGGAGCCTGGATCCCTGTGTCTCGAGGCCCTGACACCTGGATCCCTGGCTGTCACCCCCATGGCCAACCCCGTCCTGGGGCCCCACACTCAGGGGCCCGCACGGCACAGTTCTGATCTAGGGCATGAACTCGGGTTCTTCCCACCCTGCCACATGATGCTGAGGACAAGAGGCAAGGCCATATTTGGACATGCGCTGGGCAGCCGCCGCCTTTCGGCTGGCCGCTCCTCTTGTCCTCAGGACCCTGAGACCCTGCCGGCCCCTTGACGGCCCACCCCCGTTCCTTCCGGCTACCTCTTTGTCGGTGGGTGACCAGCAGGACCCTGCCAAAGCGACCCTGGCCCAGCGGGCGCACCTCATCGTAGAGGTCCTCAACCTCGGCCCGAACCAGCGCCTGGGAGCTCAGGGTCAGCACCTCGTCCAGGGCCCGGGCAGCTGCTCGCCCCTCTCTCAGCTCCTCCTGCGTGAGTTCGCCAAGGTCTCGGCTCGGGGCCTCCCCGTCCTCCTCGCCCTTCTCTCCTGTCATGGCTGTCTCTGGAAAAGCCAACCCAGACGAGTGACCTGAGGCGGGTCCTATGCCTGGTGGAGCCTCGGGTCATAGTGCGAGGAGGGTGGTAGGGTACCAGAGAATGCCAGTACCAGGCTCTTAGACCCTACCCCACCCCGAGTGAATCCAGACCTTTGGGCTATCCCGGGGACAGCCTCCCTTGGACACCAGAGGAGCCCCGGGCGGGGAGCTCCGTGGTCAGTGTCAGCTAGGGATGGGCTGGGTGAGTTTGGAGAGAAAGCTGGCCCCTAAGGCATGGGGCTGGGGGCCAGTGACTTTGTGGTCATGGATGGTCCCCTCTTCTCTAGACCCCGCCTTCTCTAATCCTCCCCCCTCCCCCCAAACTGGGCCTCCAGTAGGAGGAAAGATGAACCAGGCAGGAGAAGCCAGCCCCCACTGTTTCCAAAGCAAACAGACTTGGGGGGGGGGGGGATCAGACCCCTCATTTCAAGAAAAGACAGGGGCTACTCACCCCCAGGGCAGGGTCAAGAAAGCTGAAGCAGGGTGGGGGTGGGAGCAGACAAGATGGAGACAGAAATTTGGCACCGGGCACCTCGGGAACCCAGGAGTCCAGGCCATAGCCTGCAGCTCCATGAGGGCCCTGGGCTCCATACTGCAGCTGAAAACCGCTTTAAGGACACGGTCCTCGATTCCGTTAGGAACGTAGCATCCTAGCCCCCAGACCCCCTCTAGGCCCCGGGTCCCTAGATAGAGACCCAACCCCCTGTTGTCTGTGGTTCTCATTTCTCAGAAGCCCCAACATCCAGGCCCCCAACCCCTAAACCTCTTTCAGGATACCGTGTTCGTGCCTTCGGCCCCCACTCCTTCCCAATGACCGAGAACCCTCACGACTGTCAGGGGCAGCCCAACTGTCCAGGTCCTCAGCACAGGGAGCCCACTTCTATTAGGGAATCAAGGCTGTGGGCCCCCAGCCCAGTCTCTGCCAGGAAGCTAGGAAGGAATCAGCCCCTGCCTCCATTTGGGACCTCGGTGGCTAAGCTTCTAGTCCAAGCTGCGCTCAAGTTCCCAGGAGTCCGAGCCCCCAGCCGCCCCCTCCATTAGCTCCTCAATCCCCCAGTCCACTAGGGATTCTGGTTTCCAAGGCCACAGCCCTTTGGCCCCCAACGAACACCAAAGTTCAGACCCCTTGCCAAAGACTCCATGGTGACCCTGGTGACAGGACCAGCGGCCCTTAGCTCAGTCAGACACCGAAGAACTGGTCCCCCAGTTCCCACCCCTTCAGGGAGCCAGGCATCTTGCCCCTAGCCCCGCAGCCCCCAGCCCTCTTGAATCTCACCTCCCCCAAGGGCTCCGGGCCTCTCTCACTACCTCCTCTGGTCAGTGCCCTGGCTGATTCGGGTGACTGCCAACCCCAAGCTGGGCCAAAGGCCCAGAGACCCCGCCCCCTGCCCCCCTGCCCTGTGGGGGGGCCTCGGCCACACCCCCTCGCCCAGGCCGCTCCCTCTCCATCCTCCTCCCCCCGGGGCCAGAGCGACACCGTGTGGACCCTTGAGTAACTGCCCATGGGTGGGCAATGGACCAGAGGTAGTAGGCAGGGACCCAGGCACCCGGGCCCCCAGACCATCAGAGAGAGAGAGAGCCAGGGATCCGGATTCCCCATTCCCCTCAGGCCCTTGGGTCTCCGGCTCCACGCTGGCTGACGCTTCAGGGACCCAGTGGACCTGCTGGGGACCTGCAGTGCCAACCCTGGTCCCCTTGAGACCCCAGGGGTCTGGGCCCTTCCCCCTCCCCCCCAGTTGCTCCAGCACTCGCCTTGGTGCTCTGAGATCATGACCCACCACATCGGTCTGGAATCCAGTTGCCTCATCTCTTAGCCCGCCACCCCCCTCACTTGTCCCTCTCCACAACAGGATTCAGGCAAACACACCCCCCCCCAGTCTCCTCCTCCCTCCTCCCACTTGTCTCTGGCCCATCAAAGGGGCATTGATTGGGAGAGTGGGGGAGGGGCAGCAGCATGTCGTCATCTACCCGTGCCTGGGCTCAGAGGGGTCGGTGGTTCCTTAAAAACCCGAGGTCTGAGGCCCTGGGGGGCAGAAGTTGAAGGGCCTGGATCCCGATGACTGAGTAGAGCCTCAGACACCGGGGCTTAGTAGGCACAGGGCAAGGGGGTTTTTCCAGGAAACATCTGCAAACTGACCTCATCAGCTTCCAGCTGCCCTCCTTTGTACCAGGTCCCAGGCCATGCTCAACCCCCATCCAGCCTGGCAGCAGGGGAGGGGGGAAGGGTGCACAGCAGGGACCCAGAGAAGGAGGGCTGGTGGGATCCAGGCAGCCCGTGAAGGCAGTCCTCACCGGACATGCTGCTGCCCCAAGGGACCTCGCCCTCCCTTCCCAGCCCCCATTTCTCCAGGACAGGGACACAGGCATGCCAGAGAACCTTTATTTGACAAACGTGCTTAGGCTCCTCCAACATCCCCTTGCCTAGTCCTGGCCCCGACAAATACTGTCTGATCTGGTCTATCCCCCTTCTGATCTGTGTGACCCTGACACAGTCACTTCCCCTGTGTGGGCCTGCTATAAAATCATACCGGGGATGAAGGGGGCTGCGGACGAGTGTGGGGTGAACTGGAAGGAAACGGGGGATTGGAGGAGGGGCGGAGGGTGCCCTCCTGGCATCTCCAATCCCGGCAGCCCCACCCCACCCCCTCCCAGGCCGGGAGCCAGGGCTTCTGGGCCTGCGTCCCACTCCTGCCCCTGACGGGAGTGAGTCATTGGAGCCCCGGGGAGGCAGGGACTAGGGAACATCCACCTGGAAGGGGGCAGGGAGAGGGAGCCAGACACCTGGGGCCAGGCCTCAGGAGGAGGTGAGAAAGGTCACCTCTCACCTCCCCCCTCACTCCCCACACCAGCTGTCTCGTCGGTCCAGGTGGCCCCTGTGCGTGGGTGGGGTGTGTGGGGGGGGGAGCTTGGCTGCAGCCCAGACCACCTGCCTCACCACTTGGTCAGGGAGTCCCCTGGGCTGGCCCTATGGTCCTGTCCCCAGCCGGGCTCCTCCTCTTCCCCTGAGCCCTCGTCTAAGCTGGCCTCCTCTTCCCCACCAGTGCCTTCCTCCTCTCCTCTTCCCCCATGGTCTTCCTCCTCCCCCTCCCTCTCCTCCCCTGCCCCAGCCCCTGCCACCACCCAGGGCTCCCCAGCCCAGTCCAGCACAGCTGCTGGACTGCTCCTCTTCTCTGGCTCGAGGGCAAGCAGCCCCCGGAGGAGGGTCTGAGCAGCCAGAGAGAACTGGGCCCAGGGCTGGGGTGGCAGGGCTGGCTGGGGACAGGCTGTCAGCCAGCCAGCAAACGTTTCGAACCCAGGGTCAGGAGCCAGGGCCACAGACCAGGGAAAGCAGGCGGTGGCGGCACAGAAGAGGAGCACGCCCAGCCCCCAGGAGTCCAGCTCAGGCCGGAGGGCCAGGGTGTCCGGAGGCTGCAGGAGGCAGAGCTCGGGAGGTGCTGAGGGCAGGGGTCCTGGTGGGGCTGGGGCGGGGCAGCCCTCTGGTCTGGTCAGCCCGAAGTCCCCCAGGGCTACACGGCGGCAGGCTCTGTCAAAGACCAGCACGTTGTCCGGCTTGACATCAGCGTGGACCAGGCCCCGGGAATGCAGGAAGTCCAGGGCTCCGGCCAACTGGACCCCCACTCGCCTCAGCTGGAGCTCCGGGAGGCCCTGCAAGGAGAACAGACTGCTGTCCTTCACGGCCCAGCGTGTGGCCCCCCCGGCCTCCTCCTGTGCTGTCCCCTTTTTCGACTACAGTATGAAGGTGCCTCAGCCTGGCTGCTCTGGGAGTCCTTGTTGGAAACCCTGTCTTCAGGGTAAACCAGTGGAGAAACCGTCCAACAGCCCCCCGCCCCCACAGGCCTTCTCCAGTGCCTCCACCCAGCTTATTTCTACCCTGACCAGGCAGTCTGAGGTTAATTCCTCCTTCATCCTGCCCCAGCTTCCAGCTGGAGATCCGTTCCTAACCCAGCCCTATCCATCTCAGAGAATCGATCCCCACCCCAGCCCTTCCCCTCTCTTTCCCTCTGTCTGTCTCGCCGCACCCCCCCCCCCAAACGATAAGGTCCACAAGGCATGGGAGAGCTGAAGTTGAGGTTGGTGGCCAGGCGAGGAGAAGATCATAGGGTGTTTGCAATCCACTCTCTGACCTAAGCCCAGACCAGCCCTGTTCCATAAGGGATCAAACACAGGAAATGAAATCAGGAAGACCCGAGTTTGAATCGTGTTTTAGACATCAACTAGGTGACCTCGGGCCAGTCACTTAACCTTTGCCGACTCTGTTTCCTTATGTGTAAAGCACCTAGTTCAAAGGGCTTGAGGATGCCGGATCAAACGTTCCACAGACCTTCAAGAGTTCACTAAATACCATCTACTTTCACATCCCGGCCCCCCAACACCCACCATCTCAATCCTAACCCAAACCCTGACCATCTGTCTTCCATGAACGCCTCACCCCTGTGTCAAACCTGCCACCCAACTGTGGTCCAAATCTGAGACAGCGCCTCATCCTGGCTTCAAACATGGTCCCCCTCAAGCCCACCTTGACCCCCAATTCCCAAACTTCATCTCCGAAGCAATCTTCTTCTAAATTTGAACCCAGTTCTTTGCTGGCTCCAGGCCATCCTCGATGGTGACCAGACTTGTACCCCCGAGCCAGGGCCTGCTCTCATCCCCAACCCTATCTCCTATCCTGATCAGGTATTCCATCTCAACCAGCTCCGTCTCCATCCTTAGACCTAACTAAGCCTGTGTCCATTCTTCTCCCAAGCCCTGCACTCATCTATAAGCCATCCCAGCTCCAAGCTTGTGTCCCACCCTGACCCCCAGCCCCTCCACCTTGCGTGCCTTCCTGAAGTCTCACCCTGTCCTCCAACATTCCACTGAGGTCTCCACAGGGTGCGTACTCCTGGGCAAAGGCGTAGTGGCGGGGGCTCTGCAGTGGCGGGGCCAGGGTGCTGAGCAGACCCGGATGCGAGGATACACAGCGACCCACGCAGAACTCACGAAGGAAGGTGGCCCACGATGCAGAGGCCCGTGGGAGCAGCTTCAGGGCGACAGGTGGACCTTGGCAAAAGGACAACAGGAGGGGCTGTTGGGGATGGAGGACCCTGGGCCTTGGTCCAGCTCTGGGCTCTGGACCTGACTTGATGTGGGGCATTAGGCAAGTAACTTGTGGCCCGTTTCTGCTCTGGCCTAGCTCCCTCTTCTGCGAAACGATGAGGTTGGGACTTCCCATTGCTAAGTGGGCGCTTCTTTGGCCCCTGAGGGTCTATGGCTCCCCAGAATAGTCAGGGGGCAGAAGCTGGGTCCCTGTGCTGGGGGTCATAGACCCCCCCCATCTCCTGCATTCCCACACCCATGGGGAACACCGTGGGCTCTGGCTAATTGCGATTTTGGGGAGGACCCCCACACCATGAACACCAGCTCACCCCCTCGACGGGGCTGGGCCAGGAAGACACGGCCATAGGTGCCAGCACCCAACTCCTGGACCAGCCGGTAGCAGGATCTCAGCGTCCGAACAGGAGTCACCCTACTGGCTGTGAGATCAACAAAACGCTGAAGGGCTGACGCTGGGTCCTCCTAAGGGGACAGCAGGGAGAGACAGACAGAGACAGAGACAGACGAGGATGGTGGAAGGTGGAGGGGGGGAGAGACAGAGAGAGACAGAGGCAGAGACAGATGGGGTGGGGGAAGGTGGGGGGAGAGACAGAGACAGAGACAGACAGGAATGAGGGAAGGTGGAGGAGGGGAGAGGCAGAGACAGACAGAGGCAGAGACAGACAGATAAGAGGTGGGAAAGGGAGAAGAAGGGAGGGAGGCAGAGAAGGAGAGAGCGAGAACACCGGAGTGTCCAGTCACCAGTGACTCACTGGGTGACTTTGGGTAGGTCACTTAAATTCTCTGGGCCTCAGTTTCCAAGTCTGTAAAATTAGGGCAGATTGGATGACCTCTAAGCTTTCTTTTTATCTGGCAGACTCAGCAGTTCTGGGGCCCAGGAGGTCTCAAGCCAGACGACCCAACGAGAGGGTACGGGAGGGGCTGTAACAGAACTTCAGATCTCAGAGGGAGGAGATCTGGCTAAATTCACATCCCTCTAAATGAGTCCCCATCACAGAAGAGCAGGAGTCATCCAACCTCTGCTTGAATACTTCCAGTTGTGGGGAGCTCACTATCTCCTGGGCAGCCTGCTGAAATTTGGGATGGTCTAATTTTGGGGAAGTTTTTTTCTTCTATCAAGTTAGAGCCCCCGTCAAGAGACGAGGGGTCAAAGGGTCCTAAAGGGGAGACCAAGGGTCATCAATTGGGTCAGGGTCATAGGGTGGGGTTGGTGACTCACAGTGAGTCATCCTGAAGGACTGGCCCACCTGTCCCTGAGCCTCGGAGAACAGGCACCATTTCATGCTGCTCCCCAAGGCTCACCCCAATAGCCCTTACAGGGGCAGCCGGCCACCAGCCCTTCCCAAATCCTGCCCACTGCCCTTTCTCCCGAGTTTCTTTTTCTGTTCCCCTTCTTGGGTCTCCAATTTGTTCTCTGTTGCGTTTCGGTGTCTCTAAATCTCTGCTTCTGTTCCTTTTTCTATATCCTCTCTTTCGCTTCTACGTTTCTTTCAGTCTATCGTGTTTCTGCAGATGTTTTTCTCTGAAGCTCTCCACTTGTTTCCTTTTCTCTGTTTCTTTCTTTTTTCCATTTCTTTGATTTGTTCTGCCTCTCCTTTACTGCCCCACGTCGCTCACCTCCAAATCCCCATCTTCAAGGGGCTCTTGCTCTCTGTTCTCCATCTCAGGGTCGCCTTGGGTGCTGTCCCTTGGAAGACCCTCCCTCTGGGGTGCCTGCCCCCTCCGGATGTTCTCCCCACTCTCTGACTCTGTAGCTGTCTCCCCTCTTCTCTGGTCTCTTTCAGGCTCCGTCACTGACACAGAACTTTTTCTGTTTCTGCTCCCCTTGTCTTTGCAGGTATCTCTTCTCTCTGTTTTCCTCTGTTGAATCTCTTGGACTTTGGCTTGTCTCGCAGTCTCTCCTGTGCCTCTCTCCTCTATCTCTCTGGGTGTCTCTCTGTTTTGTATGTCCCTCTGACTCTCCTTTTCGGTTTCTGTCCTTGCTCTGTCAGTTCTCACTGTGTGTGTGAGAGAGAGAGAGAAGAGGGAGAAGGGAGGGGAGGGAGGGGAGAGAGAGAGAGAGAGAGAGAGAGAGAGAGAGAGAGAGAGAGAGAGAGAGAGAGAGAGAGAGAGAGGACAGAAAGACAAGAGATAGCGACAAAAGACAGAGACAAGAGGAAAGAGAGAAGGGAGGGAGGATAGAGAGAAAGGAAGGAAGGAAAGAGGGAGAAGGGACAGAGAAGAGGGAGAGAGAGAGCCTCTCCTGTTTCTACAGCGTCTCTGTCTGTTCTCTGATTCCTGGTCGCTCTCAGTGACTCCCCGGTAGCCGAGGCTGGACATCTACCTGTACCAGTCTTCAGCCTGGATCTCTTTTCTAAGGGTGTCTCTGCCTGGCTTTGCCTCTGCCGATCCAAGTTCCTTGGAGGATTTTTGCCTTTGTCTCTGATTATCCTGGATCCTGCTCTCCCCTTCCACTTCTATCCCTTTCTGTATGTCTCTGCTTTCTACTCTCCTTGGGTGTCTCTAACCTCTGATTCCAAGTCTCTTCTCTGCCTTTGTCATTCTATAGCAGTTCCCTCAGCTTCTCTGTCTAGGACTGTCTCTTATCGGTGTGGGTCTTGTCTGTCTTCTTTGTCTCTCCACCCGCTGACTGTTCCGGGGGTGTGTATGGGGCCAAGTTGGTGACAGAGTTGTGTGGCCCCCGCCCCCTTCTTTACCCCCCCTGACCCTCAGCCCCACCTCCCCCTTCCAAACTTAGCTTGGCCCACATCCCGGGCTCCCTTCCCAGGACAGGATTCAGATAGGACAAAACATATTGTGAACCCCTGGGGGCCAGGACACAGGAAGGAGCAGAGGCCTCCCTGTAGACCCTGGATATCCCCACTAGTGGACCTAGCTACCTGGGCTCTAGCCACTGCTTCCAGGGAGACCGAGACACCCTTCCCTGAAGCCTACGGGAGGCAAACTGGGAAGGCTTCCTGTAAGAAGGTACTAGAAGTGGGCAGAGCTCCTCAGGGACAGAGCCTGGTGCTGAACCCAGCCCCTGGCCCCTCAGGTCCCCAGCCTGGACAGGAGGAGATTGAGTTGTGGGAAGCTGTTGACAGACACCAAAAACTCATGGCTAGGGAACACCTGGGTCCCAGGCATGTCAAGTCAGCCCAGGAGGCCCTGGCCCCCTGCCTTCCCTCTGCCAGAAAGACACTGGGATCCAGAGCTGGCTTTGCACCTCCCCTTTTAGCCATACAAGCTCTCTAGGGTCACCCCACTCGGGCTTTGACCTCCAGCCCTGGATGCCAAGCCTTCTGGGGGCCCAGGAGAAGCCGGCTCTCTCCTGGGAACTCCCAAGGCCTTGTTTTCCACAGTAGCCTCTGCTCAAGGCCATTTGACCTTGGGCAGAGCATCGCCCCCCTCACCCCTGCCCTGCATAAAGGGGTCATTTGAGTCTGACATTCAGAGTCGTCTAGGCTGAAAGTGCTCCTGAAAGGGCATGAGCCTGAGCTCCCCGAGGGCTTGTCCAGAGACCGACGAAGTAGGCAGCATGGGGCACCTGGGTCCCAGCCCAGCCCAGCCATCGAATTCTGCGGTATCTGCCTGCCTTTAGAAGGGAGTTGGGGTTCGTAAATGCCAAGCTCTGAATCCCACACCTGGGGGCTTTTTGGGCTGGGCAGGAGTAAATTCCTGGCCTTCAGCATGGACTGAACAAAGAGGTGAAGATCTGCAGGGAGACTGAAGGCTCAGGTGCAGTCACCATTTTCAGAAGAGTGGATTGTAAATCCCGGGTGGGCAGGAATCATTCCAAACTTTTGTCTTTTTATCTCCAATGCACAAAACAATGCCTACCTGACAGATGTTTGATAAATGCTTCGAATCAGAAGGCAGGAAACCTGCCTGCAGCAGGGGTTTGGGAGACTCACCCCATGTCTTCTCCTGCCCGCCCTGGCCATCCCCAACCTCCCCTCCACATACACACAGAGCCCCGTGGCCTGGCTCCTCTGGGCTCCACAGCGGCGTTTATTCATAGACAGACAAGAGGAACAGAAACATCCACCCCCAACCCACACTCTGGGAACCGCTTCACTCTAGTCAGCAGATAAGAAACGTGGAAGGATTGGGCGTGGGCAGAGGGTCAAGGAGACCAGTGAGGAAGGGGGTGGGGAGGAACAGGCCCCCTGGGACCAGAGAATCCACATTTTCCCATCATTTGCCTCACCTGGAAGGTGGACCCAACCTGTCATCCTGGTGGTGGCAACAGGGTGGGACTCTGGGTCAGTGTGGGGCGGGGGGGGGGGGCTATCCTGCAATGGCGGGGAGGGTGTTAGGGTCCAGAACTCTCTGCAGTCTCCCCAGGGAGATAACCCCACCTCCATCTTGCTCTTTCTTCCACTGTTGGAACCTAAAGGGTGGGTTTCATTTCAGAGAGAGGGTAGAGGGGATGGGGGCGGCCATAAAACAAGTTTGGGGGGTTGTGAGTGTCAGGAGGGCACCCCCCCTGCCCCCCCCAGACCTCCCTCTTCCTCCTCCTCCAGGTCAAAGGCTGAGTGGTCCTGACTGTCAAAGCAGGAGGCGCTGAGGTATGCAGGGGCAGGAGGAGGGGTCCGAGAGGGAGAGGGAGGAGAAGGGGGGTCGTCGACTGTCTCCGCCAGAGCTGGGGCTGCCTCTTCCGTGGAGGGCGCAGCCCTGCTCGTGGCCCCTTCCACCTTGGCCCGGTGACACCGCTGGTGCCGCAAGAGGCTGTAGGCCCTGGAGAAGCGGCGGGAGCACAGGGGGCAGGGATGGGGGGCGGGGCCCCCCGCGTGCACCTGGGCGTGACGGGCCAGATCCGCCAGTCGCTTAAACTCCCGCTGGCAGCGGACACACTGGAAGGGCCGGGCTCCCGAGTGGGTGACGCCGTGCTGGCGGAGGTGGGCCCGCCGACGGAAGCCTTTGCCACACTCTGGGCACCGGAAACGGGGCTCCACGGGTGGTGGGGGGGGTGGAGGCGGCTCTTCCCCGGGCCCAGGGCCCGAGGCCCGTTCTCCTTCACGGCTCGCCCCATCTTCTCCGTTCTGCCCCTGGGATTCTGCCCCTTTGGCAAAGGTCCATCCCTTGGAGGCGCCGCCCACGCCTCTCTCCTCCTTGTCAGACCGCGGAGTGGTCGGGGCAGACGCCAGCAGGGTCAGGCCATGGACACGGCGGTGCTGCCGGAGGTAGGAGGCCAGGCGAAAGGCCAGGCCACAGTCCGGGCAGGCGAACGGCCGGTCCGGGGAATGGACCAGCTGGTGTCGGGACAGCGACCAGGGCCTGGCGAAGGCCTTGAGGCAGACAGGGCACTGGTGGCGCTTGGGCCGCGGAGGGGGCCCCGGCTCCCCGTCGGGGCCTGCCCGGCCCCCCGAGCTCCGCAGGCACGGGTGGGCCTTCAGCTCCCCCTTGGTGGGGAAGGCCTCTCTGCAGCGCAGACACAACAGGGTCCAGTCAGCCTGGAGCAGGACCTCCTTCTCCTCCCCGCGGCCAGCCGCTGCCCGAGCCAGCTCGGCCGCCTCCTCCTGGGCGTCCTCGGGAGGCCCCGCAGCCGGGGCCGGCTCCGCCGCGGGCTCCTGGCTCCCCGGCACCTCGGCCCCCACTGGCTCCCCGCTGCCGCCGTGCTCCTGGGCCAGGTGCAGCTGCAGCTGGGCCGGCTCCGGGAACGTACGCGGACAGGCTGCACACCGCAGAGGCGGCTGAGGGCCGTGGCCTCGCAGGTGCCGGGCCAGGTGGGCTGGCCGGCGAAAGGCCTTGGGGCACAGGGGGCAGGCGTGGGGGCGCAGGCCCGAGTGGCTGAGCCGGTGACGGGACAGGTAGTAGGGGAAACGGAAGAGGCGGCCACAGGTGGGACAGGGCAGGGGTGCCCTGGGAGCGGCTCCGCCGCCCCGGCCCCGTCCACGGCCTCGGCCACGGCCCCGGCCCCGGCCTCGGCCCCGAGGAGAGGCGCCTGGGGCTGGCGGAGGAGGCTGGGGGTCCATACCTACAGGGAAAGAAGGAGAAAGAGGCATGATGTACACACGGGGCCAGCTAAGAGGCAGCTAGAGATGGAGGGGAGCCAAAGAGATCCACAGGAAAAGATACAGGGGGAGAAAAGCGAGGGAGTGGAGTGGGCAAGGAGGGGGACAGCAAGACAGAGGGAAAGACGGGCACGAGGGGGAGAGAGCAAGGACAGAGGGAGAAAGATGGGGGAGGAAACGGAGGGGGAGAGAGACAGAGACAAAGACTCGGGGGGAGAGGAGGGAGGGAGAGACAGAGAGAAAGAGACAGAGAAAGAAAGACAGGGAGGGGAAAAGAGACAGAGAGAAAGATGGCAGGGAGAGAGACAGAGAGAGAAAGATGGCAGGGAGAGGAAAGACAGGGGAGGAGATGGAGGGGGACAAACACAGGGGGAGAGACAGAAAGACAGAGACAGGAGGGGGGGAGAGACAGGCAAAGAGACAGAGAAAGAAAGACATGGGGGGGAAATGAAGGGTGAAAGAGAGAGACAGAAAGACAGGAAGGGGGGAGAGAGACAGAAAAATGGAGGAGGGAGAGAAGGGAGAGGGGTGGAGAAAGGGGAAGGGAAGGAATAAGCATTTACATAGCACCTACTATGTGCTAAGTGCTTTACAAATGTTAGCTCATTTGGTCCTCACAACAACCTTAGGAGGTAGGTGCTATTACTATTCTCATTTGACAGATGAAGAAACTGAGGCAGACAAAGGTGAAGTGACTTGCCCAGGATCACCCGGATAATAAATGTCTGAGGCCATACTTGAACTCTGGTCTTGGGGACTCCAAGCCCAGGGCAGTCACCAGCTGCCAAGAAGGGGGTGGGGGTGGGGTCAGAGTGCAGGTGAGAGAGTCAGTGAATGCAATATAGAGAAATAAAGAAATGGGGGGGAGAGGGAGAGAGAGAGAGAG